CACAAATACTAACGAAACAAAATTAATTGCATAAACGTTAGCAATTGGGTAAATCAGATCCAATCGTTTTAAACTTCAACAGAGTCCACGCTTCCAGCAAGAAATCGGATCTCAAGAGTTGAGGTTCCAGAAGCAAAGCATAGGATTTTACCAGAATAAAACTCATCATGATAAGTAGCTGTTTATGCACTCTAAAAAATAAAGTGTTGAATTAACTTTACTGGTTCTACTAAGCCGAGTTGAGTAAATCGAGCAATTTACATTTCTTTTAAAGAAAATATGCAAATTACTTTATTTATTTACCCAGCTGGGCTTGGTGGAACCAGTTGATATAACTTGGTTGAGTAAATTCAGCACTTTATTTTTTAGAGTGCATAAACAACTACTTATCATGATGAGTTTTATTCTGGTAAAATCCAATGCTTTGCTTCGTACAGAGGTTCTGGAACCTCAACTATTGAGATCCGATTTCTTGCTGGAAGCGTGGACTCTGTTGAAGTTTAAAACAATTGGATCTGATTTACCCAATTGCTAATGTTCATGCAATTAATTTTGTTTTGTAAGTATTTGTGTTTTGTATAACAGAACTTGTAACTTGTAAAACAATTTGAAATTTGTAACTGTGAACTTGTGATGTCCCCTACTGGGAAGAGAAAAGTAATGAGAGGAAAGAGATGGCTGTAATGAGTGCTGCAGGCTTTGTGAGACAAATTTAATTTAGTTTAGAAGCATTGTCRACACAGACTGGCTTCATTCGCTTCCTTTGCTGCCATTCCTAAACTACAGGCAGACTACACAGAGCAGAAAAATGACAGTTGTTATTCACAACTCCTCCTTCTGTTCACTGATTGGCCCGGTTGACRTTCTACCACAGAAATCCTTGTCTATGGGAGAAATTCGACGGAGCAGTGAAGAAAAACTGAGCAGAAGGGCCAGGCTAGATGAGCTCGGATCTCATTTAAATTTGTAACGTGTAATGAGGTGTTATAGTAAATGTATGTTTTAGGTTTTGAATGTGATGAAATAAAATTAAAAGTTACAATTACATAAAATACTCGGTAAAATTACAAATCCTCCAAACAACAAAGTAATATACTTTGTTGCTATACACAACTGGTGTTTGACCCTAATGAATCACTGGCAGCAGCTTTAATGTTTCATTTGATCTTTGTTCTCTTACCACTTCTTTCATCAAATTGTAGGTATTTTTTCAGTTTAGATTCTTACAAAATTTTTACTTAAGAAGTTTGAGGAAGAGCTAGATTTTGTAAATAAGATGACCACATAAACTATAATATTATCAGGTGCGTGAGCTTTCCTGCTCTGGTTTCTTCTCCCTGTTCAGATAGCAGCTCTGGAGGGGAACCTGGGCGAGACGGCCCACAAGTATTCTGCAGAGATGGAGCGGCTGCAGGTCACCCTGAACCAGATGGAGGAGGACCTGTCTCAGCTCCGGCTGGACATGCAGCGCACCAAAACCGACTACGAGCAGCTGCTCCGCATCAAGCAGAACCTGGAGATGGAGATCGCGACCTACAGGCGCCTGCTGGAGGGCGAGGAAACGTGAGTGATGCATACAAAGCTTTGGTGCAGAGAGGTCACAGGAAATGGTTTGTTGTAACAACCTTTTTGTTTTGTACATGTTGTCTGGTTTAGAACACAAGTCACACCAACATATTTAAAGAAACTTTAAAACTTTGAAAACGCTGACTCAGCAGTGTTTTGTTTTCACTTTTCTAGTTCAGCTCGGGCCCACCAGACAGTTTTTCTCATTGAATATTTCTGGGTATTTTAATTTTTTTAAATACTGCTGCTATGTTTAAAATGATGCTCACATTGAATTAAATTTAACAATAAAGTCATCTTTATTCACTGATTTTAATTGATTTTTGAAATTCAGCAGTGTCAAAAAATGATAATATTAATGAATTCTTAACAGATTTATATTAAAACACCTCAGATAAAATTTCTCTGTAAAAAAAATCCACTTGGAGTAAAACCTGTTTGTGCAGAAATTTTCATGTTTCAGCACTTTTTATTTTTTTCTAAATATAAGATCAAGTTTGCTTTGTCAGGCTGAACATGACCCACTAACTGCACATCCTGTCAAAAACAACAACAAACAAACCCTCATGAGTCAGGACTGTACACTTATGTATAAAACTGCACATAAAAACAGGCTGAATAATTTGTGGTATTTTATTCTCAGATTGAGGCACTTTCTTTATTATTACCTATTATATAATCTACAACAA